GGCAAGTTTCCAGAGCACACTCTGCACTCTCAGGCCGCCGCCGTCTCGAGATATCGCGCTGGAGATGCTACAGGGCAAAATCGATGCGCCCTTATGAATCCGAGACCGTTGCCAGAAAGTCGCGAGGATCATTGTTATTGCGGTATACGTGCGTCGGAAGGCATCGAGTTTCGGTGAATTGCAACAAAATAAAGCTCAAAGAAAGCTATTTATTGTTTGTCTCTCTGCGAAATAGCCAAACATGTTGCGACGAACATGTTTTTCATCCCTTTCATGTCTTTCGAGAATAAAGATCTTTAAATCGAAGATATCGCTGCAAGAACCGAGTCATTTTGCACTGTCAGTTTTACAGGAGAGATATAAAATGGATATATCGGAAACGGAAATAAATATTCGCGACATCTTCTTTTTATTATATCTTACTGTACCGTATCTTCTATCACGAATGAATGTATAAAAAACAATTTCTCATTTTAATACTTTGCCGAATTGATCGAATGCATCTCGCTTTGCATATCTCACATATTATTTCTCACTTTCTATTAAACTAAATTAGCGAAAATTTTTATTTATTTTTAGCAAAATTTCCCTATTTTCAATGCTATACTTTTAACTGAATCGTTGCTTATCAGTGGCAATACACTGATTTTATTTAAGAGAGCGAAGACATTTTGATATTTTGTATAAATATTTAAATGATTAATTATGAATCGCGCGTATTTTTTTTTATACGTTTTATAATCTGGAGGAATTTACGCACAATTTCAATCATATGATGTCGAGATCTGTCTTTCAGTATGCCGATAATGTTTGAACGGCAACGCTCTCTCGAGCAACGCCGACGATTCGACCGTTCGACATCCGTCCAACTCCTTTGAAACTTTTAACAGCACAATAAACTGCCCGCGGCAGAAAGTTTTCGGGATTGAAAAAGTTTCGGGGAAACTTTCGCCGCCCCTCGACGCGGACGGACATTCAGATTTCCGTCGGACGTACCGAGAGAATACCGATCGAACAAGCACTAAACGCGGCTTTTTGTTCGCGAACTCGAATAAAAACACGTCCAACCCGTCGAAATAAGTCGATTAACTCGATGACTTGTTTTTCGTAATATTTTGGAATATTCCTTCTATGCCACGTCTTTCTCTAAGTTTGTAAAAGTATAATATAACTAGAAGACATACATAGGGGAGAAGTTTATTTTAACATTTATATTAATAACATCGATATAATTTATTCAGGAAAAGTGATTAATTATTTTATTTAATAATTACTTTAATGTTTTATTTAGTATTTTTTTCTGCAATTATATGTATATTAAGAAAGAATTTAAGATACGATTAGTTTAGATATATCTAAACTAATAAATTAATAAACTAATAAAATAATATTAGATATATCTAAACTAATCGTATCTTAAATTCTTTCTTAATATACATATAATTGCAGAAAAAAATACTAAATAAAACATTAAAGTAATTATTAAATAAAATAATTAATCACTTTTCCTGAATAAACAATAGTAAAAGTCTAAATAAATCTGTCATATTAATATGACGAAATAATGACTTTATCGATATTTATTTGTCAATTATTTCTGAGAAAGATTATTTAGATTGGGGTGAAATGCAAAAGTGCAAGCGAAGACCGCCGTCACGCGGGTAGAAAAGAGCAACGTCGACGGAATCGATACCAATTAGGACGCTCCTTCCGGTCACGCGACTTAGCACCCCGGCATAATGTCGGCACGTGTCACGTGCGCGGGCCTTTAAAAAAATGATAAAAAGGGAACGTCGCTTCCGGTTTCGACGTCAATCGGAACAACGGCGGTTCGCTCGATCCCGGTCTTCCGATCTCAAGGGTCATCGAAGATCGCGCGTTCCTTTGTAGCCTTTTGCTGGTGCTCTATCGAAACAATCGCTAATATTCAGTCGCGAAGCGTGAGAATAGGTATGAAGTCGCTATTATACATATAAAACAGGATATCATCGAATGTATAAGTTAAAATATAGTTTAAAATTTTATAGAATAAAGACAATAAATATATGTGTAGTTATTTTCAGCGAAAAGAATAAAGGGAATTAAACAAATTATAATATAAAGAATATACATATTGCAGTATATATTTTTTTTTATTATATATGTTATTTTATTTTATATATATATATAAAAATATTTATTATATATTTTATTATATATATATATATATATATATATATAAAATAACATATATAATAAAAAATATATATACTGCAATATGTATATTCTTTTTTAAATAGAAAAAGAAAAATGCGTAGAAATTGAAATTATATAGCGATACATTACCGATTCAAGCGAAGATGCTAGTAATTTGGGTAAAAAACTTGAAGGATTTTCTCGTTCGAGTACACCGATTCGATCAGTTTGATGTATACGAGAGATCGACTGAGAGAAGTCCGCGAGAGCCCCGTTGCAAGGGATAGAGTTAAAAGAGTCCACGCAAACATCTCGTATATTATACGGAATTTCCACCCCACGGAAACCAGCCAATAAAACACCCCCGGAACACGTCGTCCACTCGTTCTCTCTGTCCTGCCCGTAACTGCATTGTCGAAGTTTTTTTTCGTTTTTTTCCTCTCCTCGGCGACGTTCATCCTCGTTCTCTTTCTCCATTCATCCCCCGCATCACCTCCCTTCTTCTCCGTTGTTCTGTATTTTTCCTTTTTTTTCTGGGTTCTCCAAGAGCGCGCACACCCCTTCGATTACATTCGGAAATATTAGGGGACGTCCCGTCGCTCGACAAACTATCAATTTATTTTCGGCTATTGATTGGCGTACCCCGACGCGATACGCTGACTCCTGAGAGATTTTTTTTATCTCCTATGCATTTTTTGGATACTCGCATTCCGCAATCGTAGCCGCTCCTGCGGATGATTTCCTAACTGGACCTCAATTTTTCTACGCAATTTTAATGATCATATAGATTACAACAGTCCTTATGTCACATGATTTGTTTAAATATTTTAATCTTCATTGACGGGTTGTAAAAGATGCAAAAAATATTTTAGTAAAAAATAAAAAAAGAATATTTTTTTAACAAAAGGATCTTATATACAAAGTTCATAAGTTTGTATTTTAGGTCGCTGATACAATTAGATTGAATGCTTAAATATATAATTTTTGTGGATTTATTGGAAATTTTTTTCAAGAATTTTAAAGACATTTGTGACGTCACATCCGCAGAACGTAAAACGGCGGTGGATATAGGTAGATAGGTAGATAGAGCAAAAGTCGGCGGACTATGTCCAAATCTATAGATCACGGCTGGTCATATAAATCATGGTCTGGGTTCAGTATAACGCGCGGGTTGAATGTTATCTCTCGCTTCCGGTTCGGCGCACCGCCGACATTTTGCTCCTGGCGCACCGCACCATTCCACGTGTATGGGGATAGTTTCGTTTTGTGCACAGGAGAGAAGAGAGATCGCCACACATGAAGCATATGCTGCCCGCTGTCCACTCCATTTACCTCGCTACGTCATCCGTCGATGATGCGAGACGAGAAGATAAGAGAGAATGCGGGGTAGAAAGAGAGAAAGGGAAGCGTGTCCGAGGGAACATCCTTTGTATTGTCCCGTTTCGATAGGAAAAGTGGAGCAGTGACAGATATCATTCCTAAGAGCGCATCCTAATTTATATGCTTCGTGTACAGTTCATATACTCGCAATGTAATATGTATATATATTGTATATGTATATGGGTGACCCACAACACGCGACCTTAATGTTAATGACAGGTTCTCCGACGAATTTGCAATCGATCTTATCTTATCGAAAATGTCGTTTCCATGTTAAACTAAACAGAATTTTAGACGAATTCTGAATTTTCATTTGATATTTATTTTTTGTGTCATTATATATATATATTATTTATATTGGCAAAAATATATATATATTGTGATAAAGTAATTTAACATTAAACAAAAATTTAAATTAATACAAAAACCTATTATTAAAATCTAAGTAGAAAAGGTACAGAATGTTGTAATAAATTAATTCATCATCGATTTTTACTTTTCTCTCCATCTAATTTAATAATATTATAAAGTATAATTTATATAAGAAAATTGAAACACACAATGGACAATCTGATAATTAAATTGTAGCTGTAGAAGATATAGAATTTTTGGCGATAACCATTATCGCTTGATAATGTATCTTAGATTTATGCGATTGTTCATCATTATTTTGCACACATTATCGTTTCGCGAAATCCCCAATTGATTAATAAGGTTCTCTGATATACGATCGCGTTTTATTACGCGACTTGATAAGACGGCGCGATTATGTAGCTCGATTATTTTAATCGCAAAAGGAAATTGCAATAGATAAAAAAATATCGATTTGAATTCGCGATCCGCTTCTTGTCGGTCGAGCGAATAACTTGTGCGTCATAACGCGAATAATGAAAAGTTTCTCCGGGGGTCGCAAAAGTTAAACGCGATCCCCATCGAGACTCGATGGGGCGCCCTCAGGAAATCTAAACCGGTAACAAGATGGCTGCTCGGAAACGGAAACCGGAAGCTTGTCACTCAAGCTACGCTGGCTTCCGGCGTGTCCCGAAAAAAGGGAAACGATTCTGAAACGGTCCAGAAGTAAGAAAGAGAGAGATAGAAAAAGAGCGGATTGTTTCGAGTGTATTGTTTCGTTATACTCTCTATTATAGACAGAAAGGATGAATGCTACTATGATATCGCTCAAATATTTAAATCTTCTGTCATGCCATTCATTCCACATTGATGATCTATACAGAATAGCATAACGAGAAAGACGTATGTATTATTAAAAATTTTACAGTAGAGAATTTTTTGACGAGATGTTACTAATATTAAAACAAAAACTAAATTAATATATTTAGCTTTTGTTTAAAAAGAGATTTGATTTGTTTTTTTTTTTCTTTAATTTTAATGAAAAATGAGAGAGAAAGAGAAAGAAATTTTTGGATTAAAATTAGTAAGAAGTATTTGCTTTTCTTAAGATCCAGATTTATTAAATACGCTTTTGATATATTAATTCACTATACGTATCATACACAATGTACATATATACAGCTTATATATAATTAATTAAAGACGAAACACTGTGCAATTTATATCTTGCGATTGCTCACAGTATTATAATCTCGCATTCTGTTCTCCGATTTATTATGACATCGAACATCATAATAATTATATGCAACATTACCAGCATAGTACTGTCCACGTACTGTCAAGTGTTATCGATGTACTATTTCGTAGATAAAGAATTTAAGTTTACGATAACAATTTACAAAGTTTGTGTTAATATCAACGAAATTATTTCGTTCTCGTAGCAAGTTTTTCTCTCATCCTGTCTAATTAATTCATCCCAAATACGTACATATAGAAGGTAATCGTTAAGAAAACCATAATTAATTCTGATCAAGATATTCAACTTTACTCTATGAAGATGACATTCGTATTCGTTAAATGTATATCCTTCAAACTTGTCACTTGTTTCCTCTTTCGCGAGAAATATGAAAATGTCGTACCAGACAATCGAGAAATATAGAACCACAATCGCGTTAGCTACATGTATATTAATAATATATCTTGCGAGATATAGAATTCTACTTTGAGAATCTATTAAACACACCATATATCGTGAATCTTCCAAGAACACGAGAAAAATACGTGCGGAATTGTGTATTAGCTGTGAATTAATTTATATTGAGAATTAACTCACTCACTTGATTTCGAGATTGTAGTTTTATCTATTTTTTTTGGAAGAAAGGTTTCTGAACATTATGTCTTTATTTGTCTGAATTTTGAAATTATAAATTAATTTTTCGGAATTTTTACGCGCTAATTTTTTAATCTCGAGATTTAATATTTTTTTGACATCGCTCTATTTTGCAAATTATTGATTCTTTGAAATTCCGTATGTCTCTTTTCTCCACACACACATACACATACATACACAATTGAATGACGAATTCGATTTCGAATCATTGGCAGTAATTTATTCTCGTGTGATGATCTATTTTATCGAAAAGGTTCGAAAAAGATGTTAAAAATGTGCGTGAATTTAATTATGTGATAGTCAGACGATATCGTGCATTTTTCGGGATTAAATCGAAACTCTTTGCATTTACGATATTTTTTTCTACGACACACGCTCTAAGGACTAAATTTGAACTCTACGTCACCGGGATACTGTGTGTAACAAGTTTGTACAAATACCTTATCTCGTAAGAACGCGACATCGATATCGTTTAATGAGAAATTTCTTTTTCTATATATACGTTTTCTTTTATATCTATATAATTAATTTACTTATTCACGTCAAACTCTAGTTCATACGCGAAATCAGCTCGTACGCAAAAGCGATCTTTGGTTTCCGACGATATTCGCATTGTCCAATTTTTTATGAATATCAACACCAACGGCAAGAACTTTCAATTGCAGCACACTGGTCTTCAGTTTAGTTTTATTCAAGAAACTGAAGAATCGCGAGCGAATAATTTTTTCAATTATCTAGTTTTCGTAAAACTACCTTTTCCGCTTAATTAGTGATCTTTCGCACTTACTTGCTTTCTGAACATCCAGATTTCATCATTCCTCAAATGTCGATATCGACATTTCGTTTTCTAGGCAAATATTCATTTATACGCAATAGTGTGTTCTATGTAAATAATTTTATGAAGCATATATCGCAATATTTGCTTGTCTTTTGGAATATTAAGGAATATTAAGATTCGATTGCGACGTTTTTTCAGAATATCGCACATCATTAATCAATTCATCTTCATGTCTCATTGTCTATATTTTTGAATGTTTGTTAATTTTCGTTCGAGATTACCCGTCTCATTTGCTAAAGTTTCCGTACACCTTTTTCATCGCACACAGCGAAAATGGACGTCGACTTAAACGAATATTTATTGCTATCGTAAAACAGCAATTTTCCGCATCAAGTCTCAGACAATATTCCTTTTAAAAAGATTGATCGTTTTAAATCTCTTCATTTTCCTAACAAATCATTAAACATACGTGTTTCTTAAAATGTTAGAAAATGCATCTCATTCCAAGTATTATAAGTACTTCCCGAAGTCTTCGATAGTCCGGAAGTACACGCGAGACAGTTAAATTTATTTAGTTGTCATCTGGTCACGCTTTTTACAATTTTGCAAGTAGACTTAATTTTTTATCTCGTCTTTGTTATGTGCCTCTTTTTAATTCCTCATCCGAATTGCATCAGGGAAATTTCAGGAGATATGCATAAATTATTCACTAGAAATCAAAAAATGATAGAGTTAAAAGAATGAAAAATCCTTCCTTTATCAATCTTTCTATTTTCAATTAGTGTCTATTCTCAATTCATACTTCTTCATGTCCCTTTGTTGGTTCAACTCCTTCTTTTCGAATAAGTTTTTCGACCAAAAAATCCACAGTCGATCTACAATCTATAATAAATAAAAACACATAATAATCATGTGTGTCATCATGAATGTTCACGCGACTCTTGCGCTCGATACCCTTTCAATTTTTTCCATCATCGGTCATTTTTCTCACATATCCGTTCGTCGATTCTAGTCACGTCTTCTTATCACAGCAGCGTCTTTCATTCTCGTCGATTCGCGCGATGATCATTCACGGCGGATCATTTCCGGGTTCTTCTCTACCACCAATACTTCTGCATGTACGGCGCCATGGGCACCTGGCCGCTTCCGGGATACGTCGCTGGCTCCATCAGCTTGGACTGACAGGGTTTACCGTCTCTCACCAGAACCGGGACGGCGACTCGCCTGGGCGAGCATCCGCTACCGCCGGCTTCGACGCGTTCGCTCGCCGCTCTCTTCGTCTTGTACCTGTGATTCTGGAACCAGATTTTCACCTGGGTGGGCGTTAGACGAATGATGGAGGCCAGGTGTTCGCGCTCGGGCGCGCTCAGGTAACGCTGCTGACGGAAACGTCGCTCGAGCTCGTAGGTCTGCGCCTTGGAGAACAGAACGCGTCGCTTCCGCTTCTTGTGCTCGGTCTCGTGGGGCTGGGCCGTCTCGTTCCCGGTGTGCTGCTCGTCCTCGAAGTCCTGCGACTCCTCGTCCTTAGACGACTCGTGGCTGTTCTCCTGCTGCGACGGGAACGACATGTCCGAGATCGCCGGGCTCGTCGAGTCTGGTTGTTGGAGAACTGAATGCAAAAAATATTATCGCGATGTTAATTTTCGTTTCGAATGAGGGCTGTCTTTTCGTGGAAAGATTCTGCTCCAGGACGTCAACTAGGTGTTTGTATTGTTTATTTTATATTTTATTGAATATTTTATTATTATTTCGTTGAATTGGTATTTTATTGGAGATATTTTATTGTGAATTGAATCTTTTTATACGTGATATTAAGGTGTGACTCGGATTCGTTAGTGTAGCTATGGACTATTATTATAGAAATAAACATGTTAAATGACGTGATGGAAGTATAGCGTTTAGTGAACGACCGACTCTCTCAATTACGTGATTGATGATAACCAACTGCAGCTGCATTTCGATTCAGCCGGCGCCGTTGATTGCTCTTAGCGTTGATTACCGGCAGATGCAGGCCTGCATTGATTTTTTAATCAGTTGTTCTAATCAGAGTACTGATGAATTATATCGTTAAGTCTCGTGATATATCATACATGTGCTTAATTAAACTTTATTTTCTGCGGATATACATACGAACTTCTAACTCTCTCGCGATATTCCAGGAACTCCGAAATTCATTTTCCCATAATACTAAAATATGAGACTGTTTTTAATTGATTATAAGAAAAAAAAAGATCGAATATGAATATTGTTGTTGCAATTTGTAAATTAATCGCTTGCAATTTCTAATGGTAATTAGATATTTTTAAACAAAACAAATATATAATTTTGCTGCGGTGATAATTATATCCACAATAGCAATAGCTTGATTAGTCCGAAAACAAAGTGGTAAATGTTATGAACCGGCCCGGGATATCGGGCTAATTTAATGTACAACGTCGGGATACTGGCTTTCGCCTTGATACAATATGCTTTTGTGAGCGATCCCCGGGGACCAGCTCAAGGAGGGTGTGAACCAATATAAAGCCTATTTGATACCCCTGCTTCGGACCCCATGGGATCAACCATATCATTTTCATGGGAGATTAGGCCATACTCGCAGTCGTATGTCTGTGATTTCAATTAGACACTATACTAATGTCTCCGAAGGAAACTACGCGATAGCGACGGGATTTTCTCGCGTTTCTACAACACGAATTTGGTGTCAATTCTTGAACTAAATTTCGTACAAATTCAAACTCGTTTATTTAAATCGCAATTTAACTTTGTAATAATAATTTGTATAATAAATTACTATAATTATATATTTTTTATACGAAAATAAAATTAAAATAGGGGTCGCAGTAACAATCTTTATATCTTATTTGATATTTTAGTGTGTCATGTACCTAATAATTTCCTATTATTATATTCTTGTCCCCCCAAGTATATATATATCACACTTGCATCATTTTCTCAGTCAGTCATTCAGACCATATTTAAATCTGTTCAGAATTTTCAAAAATCTACTTCATAGAGGGAGAGAGTTATACTACGTAATACACCATCCAGAGTGAACAATACAAACGTTCGGTGTAAAAGAGATCCACTCAATCGTGCGTGTCCCCTCTTTATCCGCTACAGGACGACCGCGATTATTCGCAGGCGACGCGTTTCTCATGTCGGTTCGACACGTCGCCCGGATTTTTCGCTCGTGCGAACCGTGACCGCGCGAGATGACGATAAAAAGGAGCGGGATAGGTCGGCGACGAATTTTTTGGGCGTGACGATTCTGATTTAACGAGGGGCCCCCGCCGCTCGCGCATCTGTCCCCGGTTTGACATCTGTCCTCATTCGCGGACCAATCGCCGTGCGGTACCCACGAGAACCTTTTACAGGACCATTAGATCCTGCTTAACCCTCGCGGACCAATTGTAGGGTGTTAAATAAATAAGGGTTTCCATCTCGCGCCCTTCCGCCCGCAAAAGCGCTTGTATCTGTGTGTGTGTGTGTGTGTGTGTGTGCGCGCCCTTTCTATCAGCGCGAAGAAAGAAGGCGAGAAATCTCGCACCTCGAGTTCGACCGAGGTCCGTTCTTCAGGGTACACAAGTGACGTCTTGTCGAATAAAAATTTTAATTTGCGTTCTTTTTAGAAAATTCATTATTTCTTGATATAGAATAACACAAATGCGAGTTAAATGTTCTCTAAATTATGTAGTTTGTTAATTTTGTGATTAACTGCGTGTCCTTCTGCCCGCCGACTTTTAGACAATTAAATGAACGGTAATTCGCACTCACCATTCATCTCTTCCACCAAGGGTTGAGATAACGTTGCCGGTAGTGCTGGTCCAGCTGGCCAACCTAATAATCCAGGCGGGGGTGGTGGCAACGTACCCCTGTTCAGATTAGCGTGCATAGCTGGTTGTAGCATGGCGGTCGTGTGCTCCAGAAATTGTTGGTAAGCTAACGGCACGTCGCTGGCCGTTGGTAGAACCGTCGTGGCACCTGGAACACAAAAAACCAAGAAACTTTATATCAGTTTTCTTTTCTAATAGCTTCATTATGGCGAAAGAAAATGACAAATTTTATAAATAATAATCCTTAAGGTTGCCAGTAATAATTAATAAAAAACCACTCCTCAACGTTTAAAGTCGACCAGACTGGCGATAATTTATTATGAATAATTATTTGAAATACAACGTTTCGGCTGTCATTGCAGCCCTTTTCAAGTACATCTATAAAAAGTTCCATCAAAATAATTATAATTTAATACACTTATTCGTAACAAATAATTATACATTTAAAAACAAAAATGTGTTACATACCAAATTTAAAACAGTAAATCAACTTCTATGCAAACAACCGACAATGTTAACTCTTGTTTTGATGAACAATGCAAGACTGACAGAAGTAAGCACAAAATAAATAGATGTTGACTGTTCGCAAGAATCTTAGTCACTAAGCGTTAAGAAAATAGAGACGAAACTAAATGTGTCTTTCGCAATTTAAATCGTTATAATAAAGTCAAATAAATAAAAATAAATAAATAGGTGGATATAAAAATAAAAATAAAAGTAAAAATAAAAACGACTTAAATAACGTCAAGAACACGATCATAAATCCCACTAAAATTCTCCGTATCTTTCTGTAAATTAATACGTTTTCCCTGTTTTTTTATGTAAAACATTTCTGCAACAAATTTTATATTTTTCCCCGACTTTTTATCCTTTAAATATGTATATCGTCTTTTCTTCTTTTTTTTATTAAGAATTATGTATTAACGTGAGATTAAAAAAAATCGAATTAAATTTTTATTTAATGAGATATTAAATATGTATTTTTTAATTGCATTAATGCGATTATTTAATATAAATAACTTTCTGTACCTTGCACGTCTGTTTCTTCTTGCGACGGCTTGGCATCGTTTAGCTCCAAAATGTCGCTAATGGCGAAACCGGATGTCCTAGCCGGCATTTTCATACTTTCTAGCAGCCTGCAACAAAAGATTATTTATTTATTTAATTAAAAAATTACAATTTTAATTTTTAAAAATATTAGACGATATCAATAATTGTATTACAATATTATTATAAATAGAAAGAATGTGATTCTTAATTATATGTTAATATTTAAGGGGTGAGTTTAAAATCCAAAATGAAAAAGAAATGTTATATGAAGATAAATCGTGTGTTCTACATATATTTAGATATTAATAATATATCATAAGTATAAAAGATGGCATTCTTTGAACATATTTTCTTTACTGTAATAGTTAAAGAAACCTAAATAAAGCTTTATCTTTATCTGTTTATTTTTTCTTGTTTTAAATTCTAGATTCAATCCTCGAAGAACTTTCGATATATAATTAAAAATCACAATATAGATACACATATAGTAAAGAAGAATAAATTTTTTACAATTATTGCCTATTGGTATCGTGTGTATGATTATTTGCTTAATCTTAATGTGCACCTATTAATTAGCAAGACATTTATATATGTTGTACATGATTTTAGAGTTCATTTTTACATAACATTACTATTCGGCATAATATAATATTATAAGCTTATTGGATTGAGATATTTGAATACAATTTATCATATTGTATAATAAATTAAAAGTCGGGAATTACAAAGACGTAAAAATACTTATTATTTTTTATACGATATGCTCTTATAATATTTTTACATTTTATATTTAATTAGCATAGATTTATTTTCTAATAAAACGAACATGTATGTATATAAGGTACGGTTTGTAGATCGTCTTAGGGTTTTGAATAAATATCCGCGAGCAGATTTTGCGAGTCGGGAAGTCGAGCACAAAGATACTTTTCGGCGGAAAATCTAATTTTTGAAGGAGGTTGATCCTGGAAAGGTCTCGTTTGACCGTCAAGAAGCTATCGGCTCTTTTAGAACCAGATTAGAGAGAGAGACCTCTTCAAGGGTATATCTAATACCTGCCTGTGCCATGTTTTTATTTATAAGCAACCTGCGGATTTGCGGGTAGGAACGAATTTTTGGGTCCGTTTATAAGTTGTGCTACCTATTATTAAAGCACGTACAAACCACATTTCTTAAATATTCCCGACACGCGGGTGTTCTTGAATAAGTTTTCTTTCTGCATATTTACAGACTGCCATCTGAGAAAACTTCTACGAGTTTTGCGAAGATAAATTAAAGATAATTTTTAGTTATAGACGTGGCAAAGTTTCGGGGAATATTGATTATAATTTTTAGTTATAGTTGCTATATAATTTTATATATCTTACAGATGCATGAAGATATTCTTCTTTGTTCACACACACATACATATAGTATATTAAATAGAATTTATTTTATCAAATTCGTATATAATTTTGACTTAATCGTGAAAATTAGATTAATATAGAGCAGACTTATTTCTTTGTGAGAAGCTGATAATAATTATTCGAAAGTACCAGCGTTGAAATCGCCCGCGATTTCAACCTCTTCTAATTACGGCATGGTTCTTAATTAACGTAAAAGAATCATTATGGCATAATCGTAGTTTTTGTCATTTTATTGCTGTCAAGATTAATTGCGCAAATGCATAATATATAATTAAAAAAAATACTGCAACATATTTTCTAAAATATGTAAATTTTGAAATAAGAATTTTTTTAAATGGTATATTAATAAAGTTATAAAATATTTAAAAAAATATAATTTCCATTAAAGGTGAACATATTAAAAGAAGTAATATCTTTCTGAATTTCTTTTATGCTGCATAAGTATATGCACATTTCATATAAACACAGAATGTCTATAGTGATGATTTGAATCGCATACAAAATTCTTCAAAATTGTGTTTTTACATTGCTCTTCCCTCAATTATATGTGTGTGTGTACACAGAAAAAAATATTTAGTAAATATAATTTTATATTTGTAATATGTATGTATAATTCTTACTTTTCTAAATTATTTGCAAGAAAAAGTAAAAAAATAATTAAGATCATTTTGTGGTCGCCAAAGGGAGTTATTAAATTTCCATTAAAATTATTTACCTAGTATTCAATGCGAGCTGGCTGTACCACACGTGATTTAAAAGACTGGCCGGATACGGTAGTAGCGGCCAGGGCAAAATCTTATTCTTGTCCACCATTTTGAAATGATTTCGAGAAGATTGCTATTAGTGTCAGTACATGTTACATCTTTCACCGACGGCACATTTTCAGATGATTAAAAGTTTCTTCGAATCACGGACTCGATTTCCATTTAAAATTCTTGTTCTCTTCCTTTTCTTCCCTTTCTTTGCTTTTCCAATAATATTTAAAATTGAAATAAGTTTCTCCGATCTTTAATTTATCAAGATAAATTAAAAGATTTCTTTTTCTTCTTTATTTCATTTCTTTTTCTTCTTCACTCACTTAATACGTTCGACGGCTAGCGAGATTTTTGTCCCTTTTGCTTAGAAAGAAAGAGATGAAAATTTATTTATTTTTACTTCCCTTCTAGAGGAAAATTAACAATATATTAAATTAATTGATGTAATATGTTCCTTTATTTTTCTTTTGTATTTTATTTAAGTAACTTTCTTAGAAACTTTTCTTATTTCTCTAATCTTTTTGTGATTGCAATTGCCCATATTTTTGCTTTTCCATTTCTTTTGCTCACTCTTTTTCCATCGTATGAAATTATCATAGATTTCACTTTTAGTATCAACAACTGTGTCTTTTCACGACAAGAGTTGACGGATCTCGTAGAAAAAGTCCTTATGCCAACACAAACACGATAATAACCAGTCCAGCAAGTAATCCAATGTCCACTCACTGATTTTTGTATCGCACTCGCGACTGTCAGTCATTACTGATTCCGTCTTGTAAGGCAGGCCATAATTCCTTTTTGGTACTACTAAAGGACACTCCTTGTAATTTTTAAGTGTCCTCGACGAACACTTGACGACTAGTGTTCGTTCGTAGGTCGCCCGTCAAGCACCCTCGAAGCGTAGGGCGGATTCTACATTGGGGCGGGATTTCACGTTCATCCCCTCCCGTTTGCCAGCTTTTCACATCCCACCCTGCTGCCCGGCGGTAACTTACGGAAAGTTTCCGGCGGGAGAAGCTCGCAGGATAGAAGAACGTTGCTGTTTCATTTCTCATTTAATTTATCATCTCTTCAAAAGCTCCGTCTGTTCAAAAAATAAATGCAGCGCTGATGATAATGTAATATTCTGATGAAAGTTCAGTGCTTTTATCTTATTCGAGCCGCAAGTAGTTTATTTAATTGGCTGAATTGATAACTTGTTAAATTCACCGATACGAGCTCTGACTTTCTTTTATATACGTGCTGTAAAATACAGTACAGTAATCGAAGAATATTAGCAGTATTTGTCTCGTTTTAGTTAAGGGGTTGATTTTCGTAATAGAAAATACTAAAGCTCGGCTTCATTTTTCAGTCGAATGAATATTTTATAAGTTTAACGATAAATAAAAATAAAATACAAATATAAAAAATGCTCGATTCCTTTGAAAATAAATTAAATTAGGGTGTACTTTTAGTTACAAGTCATTCGCTAATTGATTACAGTCTCTCAGGACATTAATATTTTTTCTCTACTCGTCTAATTAAACACTTGGTCTAATTATGTTTTTTTTCTAAGTATAAAAATAAGAATTACATGTAAAAAGAAATCTTTTTCCGTCGTATGAAATCCGATAAAATTCCTTGCCACTCCGAGCGATTCTCGTAATATTACGGGGGTAAGTTACCGAGGGGTGGTTCCACCAGCCAGCCAATAGGAGGGTCGCGTGTCGGGGATCGTCGCCCAGCGGCCCAGGGGTTGATTTCAATCCAGCCCGACGAGCGAGCCAATCGGCGAGCTTCATCGATCAGGGGGCTTTTTACACCGAGAGCATACTTTACGTCGAGTGTTAATGTGAAAGAGCATTAGTGGTGCTTTTACTGTGTCATTTCGATTTTTCACTCGTTTCCCCTACCTTCTCTCCCTGCCACCGCCCTGTTCTCGTTCTCTCTTTCTCGCTTCGCAATACTCAGATCGTTGCCTATTGATACGCAAAACTGGGTTAGAAGCTCGCGACTTACGGCCGAGTGTTACACAAACGCAAACGAGAGATACGTATGATCGACCAGCTCGACTGTCCTCTTTTAGGAACTTGTTTGCTCGATCGAAAAATCGAAGGGTGCGAAATGGAGTTTAATTGAAGGGTTGGCGTATATGTCGAATTTTATGAAAACCGCGATGTTCCAGCAAAAAGCAAATTATGATTCATACCTCCGCAATTGTAAACATTATTAATTTAATAACTTAACAGTGTAATGATATTAAATGAAGTCATTTATGAATCTTCTTTTAGAGATTGATTATTCAGGCAAACGTCAGAAGTTTGCTGCTACTCGAAACTGATCAAATGTTTTAGAAACTTTATCAAAATTTCTGATATGAAAAGAAAGAAAAATGAGAGAGATTGGAGAGATATTTTTTATAAGAATACAAATAATATGATTTTCTACATAATTTGAAATAGGTTTTCCAAATACTTGATTTTCACGATTATACAGAGCGCAATAAGAAAAATATATCACTTTAATTGATTAAAAATAAATGATAATTCTTATATCTTGCGCATCAACTTAATCTCTTTCGGAAGTTGCTTTAGAAGTGGCCAAATAAAAAGCCAGAAGACGCGAGATCGAATTGAAATTGTCAATCTAAAAAGTTATAATCGTGGAAGCGAGCGCGCGGATTTAAAGTGAGAAATCAAGTTTCTACGACAGTTAAATAAATCCGGACTCCGGCATAATTCAGGCAGAAAGCGTGTGACGGCTAATTTTATAGCGAGGCATTTATTACGCGCACATTCCGTGACGATCTTTCTTTTTTTCCTCCGATAATCGCGACGCTGGCGCGCGAGAAAAAAAGACACGTCATCGGCGACAAGGCTGGCCTGATTTCTTTTTTATACCACCTACTTATTATTCGCGGACACGCATTTGTTACGTCGGAGTTAACGA